CGGAAATGGGGACTGGCTTGTCAACAGCCCCCTCCCATCTCATGCCAAAGATCGTTGCCTAAGCTGAGCTCCACACTCTCCAATTCCACAATTACACACACCGGAGAAGGTTTGCTTCTTGTGTGTGTGTGTTGCCTGTTCGCCACTGATTTGAAGATGGGACGGGCATTCTTTAGGTTGCTGGTAGAAGAAAGCTACGATTGTTCTTTCAGTTTTGAAGGGGGACGTACAGGATTCTGCATGCAAAACTGATCTTAAAACAGGATTATAGAGTTCTAGAGTTGGAAGGGAGTTTGGACGGCAGTGGCAGGAAGATGATTCTCTCTTTGGCCTTGATTCTTTCTTCGGTGCAGGATGCATGGCCAGCACCCCTCGTCCGGCACAGGGGCTGCATGCCCCCCACCCCCCACGTAGTTTCTACCACCCCACAACTTGCTGCTGCAGCCAGAGGATCCGCAAATTTACCTTTGCAGCAGCAGTTTATTTATTCTTTAAAGTTTAAAGTTTATTTATTATTTAAAGTTTTTATATACCACAGTCTCTGGACAGCTTACAAAGAAAAAGCAGAAAACAACCACATACAAACAAACAACACACTGCATCTGACCATTAATTTTATAAAATCAAAGGTAAACCAATTAAATATTAAAATGTTGGGAAAATGGAAAAGTTTCCGCCTGGCGCTGGAAAAATTAAAGTGACGAACCTCTCTGGGGAGCATGTTCCAAAGTCAGGGCGCCCCCACAGAAAAGGCCCTTCTTCGGGTAGCTATCCTCCTAATTTCCTTCAAAGAGGTTCCTGGAGAGGCACTTGAGGCAAAAAAGCCACATTCCTGTATTAAAGCAAGGCAGATAATGTGCATCTTATTTAATGGAGTCCCCCAGGAGCCTGAGAATGCATAAAAAAATCGGTGCTTTGCATAGATTGAAAATATGGCTATGTTGCCACCTCTGAAGAGCTGCAGGGAGCGGGGTCTGGAGATTAGAAATCGCCTGCAGGCTCTCCAAAGTTTCCTCCAGTGAAGGAGAATGTGGCATTCAGGCCCAGGCCCCCAACCAACGGGGAGGAAGGAGCACACTTCCAGCGGGAGATCGATCATGGCCCTTGCTGTGGTTCGGGGCAACGGTGGAGAAGGTGTGAAAGGCACAGGAACGGCTCCCTTGGTGGCGCTGGCCCGTTCTGGCCCACTCCTAAATCACCGGCCGAAAGGCTGTCTGGCGGGAGGAGGAGGAAACGGCGAGTCAGCAAAACAGGAAAACGCTGGCTCAGAGGGGCCAAGCATGCCGTGACCCCACCCCGTGGATGGGACGCGTCCCTTGACCTCGGCGGCTGGTGTGGGGGCAGGACATGTAGCAGGAAAATAACAGGATGTCTCTTGGCCAGAGGCCTGGGAGAGGAGAGATTAATGAAAAGCGCTACCCTGCGCTCGGGGCTGCCCTGAAACGAGCGCTTCCGCCTCCGTGAGGTGCGGGGTGGCCGGTGTCCCGCTCACCGGCTGCTGACGGTGCGTTTGTGCCTTTTAATTGCCAGGTTTGATGAGCTCTTTCCCAAACAGGCTCCTCTGCCCTTGTGGGAAATGGCTGACATCAGGTTTTGGAGGCCTTCGGGAGGACACGCTCCGTGGCCCCATCTCTGAGTAAGTCTTCCTTCAGGATGCCATCGTCTCAAGATGGGCTAGGAGCCTCCGAGTGAACCTGCTAGCCTTGTTTGGGCCAGAGTGGGCCGCAGGTGGACACGGTGCACGGAGGAAGAGGAGGGGCAGCTCTGGGCGTGTCTGGTTGTGTTGGTCCCATGGCTGTTCCCGAGCAAAGCATCCAAGCAACAGCACCCTTCTGCTCTGGTTCTGCAGGAGCTGGCATTCCAAGGAAGACTGCTTCAGAATCAGGAGTCTCTGGGCCGTTTTCATGGCTTCTCGTGCCCGACAGCAGCCTTGCTCCCAGCATTAGTCTGATCCCCTTTTAAAGAGAGCACCATGAGTAAGCTCCATAGATTATTTGTAATTGTCTCTTGTCAATCAAATCTGTGTCACTTTCTAGTATGATGAGGCAAGGAGAGCTATTTCTCTCTTCCCACCAAACCCGCATGGCTTGAGAAACGTCTGCTTTGACTGGAGGGCTCCGTTCCCTTTTGGAGAAGCTCTCGGGGCATTTAGCAGTGGTGGATGGGGCTGAAGGGCCAGCTTATTCTAGCTTGAAGCTCTTGCTGCTGGAAGCATTTCACCCTTCGAGGATGGAGAAAACATTGCATTAAAATTAGGAGACCAAATGATGGGGTGCTGTCTGAGGAACCCTAGAAGGATAGATTTGGTTTATGGGCCCCGAGTCTGTTGCTGTCCATCATTATATTCTTTTCTGAGCTGCAAAACTTGAACCTTCTCCTTGCAGGGAATTTCCACCGACCTCCGTTACCCCTTTTTGGGCTCTTCCCCTCTTCCCTTTTGAGATGAGGCTGCTGAGAGTGGGTTTGCACCATGTGTTGATTCTCATGTAGGGTTTGGAGTGCAATTCTGAGATGGACTGATGTATTTGCTTTTCCGTGGAAGACATTTCTCGCCAATGAAGAAACGCTGGAGGTATCAGGGATCGTTCTATGGGCCAGGCAGATACTCTCCTCCTTCGCTTGTCTGTAAGACACGCCTGGCCAGTAACTCTCCCTTTGGCCCATCTGTCTGCTAAGCAGGAGGTCAGCCGTGCTGGACCAGCAGGAGGAAAAGGGAAGGGCAGGTTTGTAGGTTTTTATCACATTTGGCCACAGCATCCTTCCTCCTGACAGAAGGAACTTGTCGTTCCTTGGACATATTCTTCCTAAGACATTTGTCATTTGTAACATATACTAAGAAAGAAAGAAAGGAGACAGAGCAGACTCTGGCAATGTGATAATATTTCACTAACCGGTCTAGCTACCTTGGCCACATCTTTCCACGCCACAGGCAAGTATTCTAGTGTCTGTTGACCCGGCTCAGCTAAACTTTTGGGGTAGTGTTTCTCACACTTCTTGCTGAGAAACAAACTCTTTTTTCTGGATTAAAAGTGGAGGGATGCGTCATTCTCCCCGCCTGCCCTTCCACCCACGAAAAGTTTTTTTTTTGTGTACCTAAGAGGCAGAACAACCTGACCTTGGAATATCTGTGTTTTCCTGTTGGCTTTCCCCAATTGAGCCATTGTTTTGGCATTGGCCCTGATGAGCAGTCCCTAAGCCCTGAGTGGGGATGCGTAGAGAGACACAACAGACAGCGAGCTGTTCAGCTTGAAGGACATAAGGTTCCGATAAGCGCAGGGTCAGAAATTCTGCCCTCCTCAGGAGGCGTTGGACTCCATCTCCCATCAGCCCCAGGTGGCTGGCAGCAGTGGGAGCTGGAGTCCAGCAGCATTTCGCGTCCCCACCCGCAGCCATCGAGGTATGCTTTGCAGGACTTCCCCCTGCATGTGCGTGACCCGACCTACCCCAGAGCTTGCTTTTTCGCTCTCTGCTGGGCCTGGCAGGAGGGGAGGGAGGCGGGTCTGGATTCCGGCATTCTGGTTGGCAAACGAGGAGGAGGCCCGGGTGCTAATTAGCCAGGAATGGCGAGGGGCCTTCTGCAGCTCGGAGAAACATCCTGGCCTCCTTTCGCAACCTCCCGGTGGTGCTAATGGGTCCCAGCGGAGAGTGTTTGGCGGTGGACCGGAGTGTGCTGAGTCCAGCTTCGGGGGAAGAGGGAGAGGGGCAGAGAGAGCATGCTCTGGCGTTCCCAATTTATCAGCGAAGGAATCTAGGGAAAAGTGTACACAGCAGAGCCTTCCTTGGGGCTTTGGACATGTGCTGTTCCTCCTCCTTTAAAAAGCCTAAAGCAGCTTTCAGGCGCCCCGGAGCAGCTTTCCCCTGACTTGGTACCCCCAGGTGTGTCGGACCACAACCCCCAGAGTCCCCCAGCCAGGTGGAGGGGAGCTATTAGAACAGCCACCGCAGCACCTTTCATATCTGAGCAACCAGGCGTGCATGAAATGGGACTCCGGGTGGCCTGGCAGAGCGGTGACACACTGAGGGTTGTCCTGAGCACGTCTGGAGGGCGGCTGCTTGGGGAAGGCGGCCCCGGAGAGTCCAGCAGGGTGGGATGTGCCCTCGCCATCCATCAGCCCCTGCCCCAGAGAGCTTGCAGGTCTAGAACGCAGCATAGAAGAGGGGAAGAGAAGGGGCAGAGGAGGCATCCGCTGACACGGAAGAAGCATCCCGCAGTGCGGGCACACGCGTGTGGGTGTCGTTTCAAGCCAGGGCGTGAGCAGTGTGCCTGCGCGTGCCAAACTGGAGCGCAGCGGCGGCCAAACACCTGCGCATGTTTGAGCGATGAGGAGTCCTTGCTCCTTCCTGGGGGGGGGGCATTGCTCTCTCTTCTGGGGCCCCAGTGGCTCCACCTCTTGCCCCGTCTGGCAGCCGCCGAGCAGCTTCTCGGCATCCCTCGGCTTTTGCCAAAGTCCCACTCCCGGCTTTTCCTGTTGCCGTCCGGGCAGGGGCCGATGTCCAGGGCCCACTCGGCAGAAGGAGCAGGGTGGGACTGCAGCAGTGGGGCTGGCCTGCCACACTGTGAAGTCATGGCCAGGGCCCCTCAGAGAAGGCACCTCCCTGTAAGATGTTGAGCTCCACAGCCTATGCAGCCGTACCACGGCTGAGCCGTCTTCCTTTCCAACAGAACTCCCCATTTGACCAAGCAGGAAACGATCCATTTTCTCCCTATGTGCTAAAAGGGGTGTCCCCCTTTCAGACCTTTTGCCTCATGACAACAGGGCTTGCACTGTTGGCAAAGCCACGGCGGGGATTATGGGCCGCGTCGGTTTCAGGGCGGCGGGTCAGATGGCCCAAACCTGGCCAGAGCGGCTTGTTCACAAGCGATGCTCCGGCTTAGGACAGCAGGTCAAGCCGCGCTGAAACCGACGTGGCTCACAAGCCAGCGTGGCATCTTGGGCCTCGGTCCGTGCCTTTGCAGTCACAGCGCTTGCCTTGCTGACGGTCCCTTCCCTGCGTTGCAGTCATCTACATCTGCTGCGCCTCCAGCATCTTCCGAGAGCTCATGCTTCACGCGCACCGCGAGGGCCTCACGGCAGGCGACTACGTCTTCTTCTACATCGACCTCTTTGGGGAGGTCTTGCAGAGCCCCCACTTGCCTGACCGCCAGCTCCCGTGGCAACGCCAGGACGAGAACGACCACGTGGCCCGTGAGGCGTACAAGGTCAGTGCTCTGAAAATCGTTTTGCCTCCCCGCCTCCTGACACATGCCCTCCTGACACATGCCCTCTTGCACGTGCCGTCTCCAGTGCGTTGATCTGAGCCGGATTTGTTGTTGTTGTTGTTGTTGTTGTTGTTGTTGTTGTTGTTATTATTATTATTATTATTATTATTATTTGAGGTATTTGCTGTTCCTCAGCCAAAAGCACTCCTAGAACGGCGCACATGTAATTAATTCAACCAGATAGTCTCTGCTCATGGACTTACTTCCCAGAAGGACATGACACATAAGGAAAAAGGGGAGAAGGAAGGCAGGAAAATAGAAGCCTTTCAGCACAGCCGGTGGAACGGCTCTCCTTCCCCTCTTGTCTCCCTCAGCAAATACATTGGAAACACATGGATTTTCCATGTGAAAATTTGCGGTCGAAATCAGCATTCTTAGTTTTTGCCACAGACCCTCTGGTGCTTGAAACCTGTGAGCATTTCTTGATTGCTTTGGCAGGAATCAAGTGTAAAAATCTTCCACAGAGCCTTTGGCAGAAATCTCTCATCGTCATGCCCGGCTGTCCTGAAGTACGCATACTGAAATAAATGCATAGTCTTCTGTTGTCGGTGTGTTTAATTATAAATTGTATGATCCTTGGGGGCAGAAACCGATCCTCTTGTGTTTTGTAAAGCAGGGAACTAGCGTATGTAAAGATAATCAGCTGCCAAAGTTAAGAAGTAGTTATGTGTTGTGCAACATTAGGGAGCAGCGATAAAATTAGGGTAAAATGAGAGAGACTCCTGCATGCTAATTGTTCTCTGTCAAGTTGGATCAATGAAATGTTGGTAGGAAGTTTTAAACACTGTTTGTTCTCAAGGGTAGATGTTTTTATAAAATCAGATGTCCTCAGGGCATTCAAGATCAGAGTTGACGGAAGAGAATTTGGAGTAAAAGTATTCGCATGAGTTTTAACCGTACAAACACAGATATTCCTAACTCAGTTTAAAGCTGAATATTTGCATTTTGGGGAGAGAACTTGTCTTCAGGTTGCTGCTTGGTTATTTTTTTCCCCTTTCCTGCCAGGGTTTTTGTGTTCCCAATTGCTAAAGGACGGGCAAAAATTCAACCAGGGAAGCTCTTCATGGTATGGAAATCTCAGTGGCAGAGACAGCTGGCCAGGTTGAATTTCTGCTGGCCGTGAAGCTGTTAAGAAGGGACAGGAGCTTTGCCAGGAAGGGAGAATGTGCTAATTCCGCTGGGAATACCCAGCAGCAGAGAGTACAGTTACCGCTCCAGGGCAGTGCCATCTGGCAGGTGTCCCAGTGCGTTGTGGGGATTGAGCATGGGCAAAACAGGGCAGTTTTATGGTGGGTCGGGAAGCCACCCTGAGCTAGGGTGGGTGTGAGTTGGCAGCTGAGTTGGGTATTGTCAAGAGCCTCCTGGTGTCAAGTTACTAGTCCTCATGGCAGGAGGCCCACTTGGCAACCTGTTGCTGCTTAGACCTTGGGAAACCCCCTTGAGGCACCGGAGAGAAACTGGGTGTGTGCAGCAACCAGGCAAACATGCCTGTCATGATGAACCTCAGATGGAGCAAGCACCCCCAGTGTCGCCCGGAGTCTTCCAAGATGGCTTGTTTGCAACTCATTTGTTCTCCCCCATATGAAAACGGGGATTAGGGGAGCACTAGGGAACGACCGCCTGTGCCAAACAGACCCATGGCTTGACCTGCTATAGGGCAGCAGCTTTCATTTTTATTTAAAACGGCCCTCATTCAGAAACAGGAACCTTGCTTGATTTTTAGGAAAGTAACTGCTGCTTTGCATTCAGTGAGCCAAAGGCTCGGTGCTCAGAATCTGCAGGTGGGACTGAGAAAGGCCTGTGTCCGGAAGTGCGGGAAGCAGCTCCCACTCAGTAGAAAACATGCTGTTCCAGCCTGGTGCAGTCCAGATAGTTTGCCCGTGGCGGATGGCAACTGCCCTCTAAAACTTCTGGAGGACACCAGGTCGGAGAAGGCTGGCACAGGCAATACTGAAATAAGATTTATTGGACACCTTCTGACCTGAGGGGCTCATCTTCCGGCGTCATATCTTTTTGCCTTTTGGTACTGTCCATGGGATTTTCATGGCAAAGATACTGGACTGGGTTGCCATTTCCTTCTCCAGTGGATCACGTTTTGTCAGAGCTCTCCGCTATGACCTGTCCGTCTCAGGTGGCCCTGCATGGCATAGCTCATAGCTTCATTGAGCTACGCAAGCCCCTTCGCCACGACAAGGCAGTGATCCATGAGGCCTTTGAATTGTGGTGCTGGAGGAGACTCCTGCGAGTCCCTTGGACCGCAAGGCGATCAAACCGGTCAGTCCTAGAAGAGATCAACCCCGACTGCTCTTTAGAAGGCCAGATACTGAAGATGAAACTCAAATACTTTGGCCACCTAATGAGAAGGAAGGACTCCCTGGAGAAGAGCCTAATGCTGGGAACAATAGATGGCAAAAGAAGAAGGGGACGGCAGAGGATGAGGTGGCCGGATGGGGTCGCTGGAGCAGTTGGTGTGAGCTTAGACTCCGGGGATGGTGGAGGACCGGAAGGCCTGGAGGAATGTTGTCCATGGGATCGCGATGGGTCAGACACGACTTTGCGACAAACAACAACAACCACTCAGAATAAGGCTGCTTCCTATGCTCCTGTTTAAATCTACCTTTTATTCAGAACCATGAGGGCTAGAATATTATTTTGCTTTTAAAAGGGAGGCTGTATCTCAATTCTCCTTCTTGGGTGCACGCCTTAACCCTAGCAGGCTGACCCAGGTTGAAATGGTCAAAGTTGAGGCATCAGACTAAGATGCATCCACCCTCTTCGGGAGGAATAGCCGAATCAGCAGACAAGAAAAGTGGAAAACAAAGCAGAATCCAACGTCGTGGGGAAATTTGGCTCAGAAATGAAGCAGGAGAACAATTCATGGAATTCTGTGATGCCAACTTGCTGTATATTACAAGTACATCAGAGCAGCTGATCAGGTGGCTGTAGGCATGGACGTCACCAGATGGCCAACAGAGAAATCAAATAGACCATATAACTGGAGGTAGTAGATAGAGAAGCTCTATTTTTGCTGCCAGATAGAGCTGCTCTGAAAGCGTTTGGAAAGAATAGAGCACCTGGCAGTAGATCGGGTGCCAACAGAACTATTTCAAACTGCAGAGACGGATTTAAATCCAAATCTCAACCAGAATATGCCAACAAATACGGAACACAAAACAGTAGCCCACAGATTAGAAACATTCAATATACCTTCCAGTCTGCAATTAAAAAGATGCAGCAGCTTTCGGACCATTGTGCTAACTTCCCATGCAAGCAAAGCCATGCCCAAGGCAACGCAATCAAGAATGAGAGGGAACCCATGGAAGGAGTTGTGTTTCAGCTGGATTCTGGAAAGGAAGAGGTGAGCACACAGATGCTGTCTGCTTGGTGCGCCAAAGAGCTAGACAAGAGGATAAGCTTGTGCTTTCTAGACTACAGCACAGCCTTTTTTGTCGGTCAGGAGAAGCTACGGATAGCGTGGCAGGCCCCAGCTTGCTCTTCCTTTCTCCAGGAGGAAGGAAGCGAGATAATCCCTCAGATGGAGTTTGACGGCTGGTTGCAGCTATTAATAACCTCTAGGAGTTGAAAGGCTGGTGGGATAGCAGGGGTGAGGGAAGCGGCGGTGGGCACGAATTCACTGCCCCCAGGAAGCAGTACTTGCGAAGGTGCTGCGTCCTGGCTTTGAAAGGATTTTTGTGATGCGTTCACAGAGGCGGTTATAAGCTGGACATCAGCCTGTATGAGCCCCAGCCAGCACGGCCAATGATTAGGAATCCTGGGAGTTGTTGTCTAGAACATCTGACTGGCAGGGACGGGATGGGATGACTATACCAGTTTGGGAAATTCTGATCTTCAGGTATGAGGCAGTGATGTTTTCAGACAACCTAACTCCCCCCCCCCCAACTCATGGGTTGTCACTGAAATGAAGATTACATTGTTGTTTGAACCCAACTGACTTAAACCATAGCGAGCAACCCAAAGTTCAGCACCTAACAAGGCATGGGTTGTCTTTGTGGGTTGTTTGTGCCTAGCATCTTGTGACTTGCAAGGGCAGCTGGGTTCAGACAACAGGATAACCCATGTTTCACCAACAACCCTGCTTAACCCTTGACTGTAGGTTATCTCCAGAATTTCATGTGTTTCTTGGTGCCCTCCAATTCTCTAACTGCCTAACACTACAATTCCCATCACCCCAACCATTGGCCTTGCTAGCTGGTGCTGATGAGATCTGTGGTTCAAACTACCGGGAGCAAGCAAGTTCTCTAGCTCTGGTCCAGCTCCTTAATCCCTCCCGATCGCATGTCGTGGCCAAGGCTTCGCACATTGTTGGTGAACTGCATGCGTGTTTGCCCACATTTTCTCCTCCTCCCCCTCCCCTTCCCTCCACTGAGTTTTAGATGGGAAGCTCCTCTGGGCAGGGACTGTCTTCTTTTAGTGCACATCAGCCATGCTCTTTAGCAGTCGTAGCCCCAGCAGGGAGTGCGAAAAGTCTGAAAGTTCCAGCTGAGCTTGTCATAGGATCATAGAATAGCAGAGTGGGAAGGGGCCATGAAGGCCATCCAGTCCACCCCCCGCTGTTGCAGGACACCACGTTACACCATCCCGCTCAGATGGCTGCCCAGTTTCTCCTTGAATGTCTCCAGTGTGGGAGAGCCCCCCTCCTCTTCAGGCGGCTGGTCCCACTGTTGTGTTGCTCTGACAGCGAGGGAGCTTTTCCTGATGCCCAGCCTGGGTTGCCTCAACTTGACTTGATTATTCCGTGTCCTACATTCTGCCATCAGCAAGAAGAGATCTTGGCCTTCCTCTTTGTGACAGCCTTTGAGGTACTTATAGAGGGATATCATGTCCCACCTCAGCCTTCTCTTCTCGAGGCTGAACGTGCCCAGTTCTCCCAGTCTCTCCTCACAGGGCAGTTCTTCCAAACCCTGGATCATTTTTGTTGCCCTCTTCTGGACCCTTTCCAGTTTTTTAAAGATCTTTCTCAAACCTTGGTGCCCAGAACTGGACACAGAATTCCAGGTGAGGTCTGACTAGTGTGGCATATAAAGGAACTACTCCTTCTCGTGCTTTGGAAGTAATCCTTCTCTTAATGCATCCCAAAATAGCATTTGCCCTTTTGGCGGCCGCATCGCATTGTTGGCTCGGGTTTAGCCTATTGTCCACAATTACTCCAGGATCTTTTTTCCGTTTCAGTCCTGCTGAGCCACGTATTCCCCATCTTTTACATGTCCTCTTTTCAAATCTCTATAGGCGGTGATGATCGTCACCTACGCGGAGCCCACAAACCCCGAGTACCGGCCGTTCATCCAGGAGATCAAGCAAATGGCTCAGGAACGGTACAACTTCACCATGGGAGACGATCTGGTAAGGAGACCAGCCCGTGGTCCAGCTTTGCCAGGTGCCAGTGGCATGGTAGATCTGTGTTGAGCGAATGAGCTGTGGTGGACAGACTCACAGTCCCGACCAGATTCCTACATAATCTAAGGCAAGTGGGGATTTCCCCACTCTTTCTCCGTGGAGGGGTCCAGGGTGGTCTCCAGTCCATGCCCAGCATTAGACTCGCTTCGACGTCAGTCAAGTGCCTTTGGTCCATGCTCTGGGATGGGTTTTTGATCTAGAAGATCTGCCTCCCACCAACCTGGCTCCCCCAGCTGGCAAGGGGATCCTGGGAGATGTAGTCCAGTGGGCCTGGTGGGCACCAGGTTGTCGGAAGATGGAGGAGAACTGCCACCGTAATGCCAACAACCATTGCGACACATTGAAAACACATGCTCTAAAGCAACCTCCTGTTTCAAAAAATAAGCTGAAACGACTTGGTGGAGAGCTCAGCGAGCAGAAGTAACAGGCTGCTTAGCCAACTGGTATACCTTGTTTGCAGCCTAGTAACGTGTGTGGACTTTTCTTTCTTTGTACAAGGCTGCAGTAAAAAGTCAATGAGTTAAAACACAAATAAGCCAGGCAGCGGCATAAGAACCTGGCGGCACCGACCTGTTGCCCTCTCGTTGTCTAGGAAGACGTGTCCCAGGGCTCCGGATCGTCAGCTATGCTTGCTGGGGCTTAGGGGAATTGAAATCTAAAACAACTGGTAGGGGCAGCAACCAGGTTGGGGAAAACTGGTGGAGACCCAAAACAACATCATTAGACCAAAGGCCGTTCAGAATAAGTCAGCAGAGAGATACCTGCAGAATATGCTGGGCTGATTGGTCGGTTTTAGGAACAAGCATCAAAGATCCGGGCACATTCTCTGTGGGAAGGTGTTCAATGGCAGAGGTGGGCCGAAGGTGGATTTCTAGAGCTGTTGATTCAAAGCTATGGGCAGGAACGCTGGGAGTTGAAGTCCAAATCTTAACTGTATGTTATGCACATAATTTGGGGCCTTCAGAATTCCTTCTTTGAGGGGGGCTTGGTGGATGACAACCAAAGCCTTTTTTGGGATGGCTTTGCAGTTCTGGAAGACTCTCCCCAGTAAGGCCCTGCTGGTGCCTACACTGTCATTTCGTTAGTGCCGTGTGAAGACATTCTAGTCTCAAGCAGCATATAATGGGATTTTCATTGGCTCCGCAGAGGTACGCTTTGTTGATAAAATCATTCTGTCTTTGCGCCCTGGTTTTCTGTTCTACTGCTTTGAGCACATTAACCTTTGGAACGTTGCTCAGAGAATTTTGCCTGCTGGGTGGTCTGTCCCCAAGCGGGGAGTTTGCGCTGCATTCCGCCTGGCACTGCTCAGCCTTGGAATGCCATTCCCAGGATCACTTCCCTGGTGCCCACAGTGCTGTCTTTTCAGGGCTGGGACAAGATGCGTTTGGTTCCCCCTGGGTTTTAGAAGCTTTCTGGAAGTCAGACATATGTCACAGTCCCCGTGGTGTGCTTGCACCTGGCAATAGTGCTTGTTTTCACTGTGATTTTATTGTATCTGTTAGATTTGTTGAAAAACTCTTTTGCACGGTGCCTAGGGAAATATGTTTTATTCAGTGCATAGCCAGCAGAATCCAATCAGGCTGCCCATTACCCTCCAAACTTGGAGGATATGGACATACAGGGAAGGGCGAGAGGGACACAGAGGCAAGCGTCGATCCTGTGCTTTGGCGGTCCGGCAATTCAGCGGCCGGTTTTGGCTGTGTGGGCGTTTTGCCCCAGAGCATGGGGGTGCTGCGGCACTGCCAGGGCCACGTATACACTGGCAACACCTCTCTCTTCCCTCTGCTGCCCACACAACGCCATTTTTGAGGCCGGCTGCAAACCTCAAAGCCATTTCTGCTCTGGCGGCAAGCGTGGAGGGAGGATGCTGTAAGACTTTCTTCCACCTTCCAGAAGAACTACATCTCTGCCTCTTTCCACGACGGCGTGATGCTCTATGCCTATGCTGTGAATGAGACACTGGAGGGGGGTGCCATCGCCAATGCCACGGTCGTCACCCGCCAGATGCAGAATCGCACTTTCTACGGTCAGTACATTTCTAGTCCTCCTAATATTATCATGCGTGTATTTTGAAAAGTCGGAATTAGAGCTGTAGCTGTGGAAGAGGAGCTAATGGCAGAGCACCCAGAAAGGTGCAGACAAGAGAAAACTGTCTGTTTTGCTTTCTCCAACGTTCCAGTCCTTGTGGACTCAAGACTTTCTGTTCTGAATATGCAGAGCATTTGTTAGTTGTGAAGTCGTGCCCGACTCTCTGTGACCCCATGGACAGCATTCCTCCAGGCTCTCCTGTCCTCCACCATCCCTCGGAGTCCACCCAAGCCCACACCCACCTCTACAGTGACCCCATCCAGCCACCGCAACCTCTGCCACCCCCTTCTCCCTTTGCCTTCAATTGTTCCCAGCATCAGGGTCTTTTCCAATGAGTCCTTCCTTCTCATTAGGTGGCCAAAGTCTTTGAGCTTCAGCTTTACCACCTGGCCTTCTAAAAAAAAAAAGGTTGATTTCCTTTAGGATTTCCTTTAGGGACAAAATTCTTAACAATTCGCACAACAATTTGCATTTCACACCAGATTCACACAGCAATTTGCATTTGCAAAGTGTGTACCAGTTTCCAACACGCAGAATATTTTGGAATTGCTTGCAGGGTAGTTGTTTAAGATGAGACACCTGCCAAAAAAAAAACGCACCAGAAACAATGTTGAAGACACAGGCGTTCAAACCCAGGCTTTCAGAGCAAAGCACTCGAAGGCCTGGTCCGGCTTTCTGTGCGGAAGGTTCCAGGTTCAATGCTTAGCCTTTCTCATTAAAAAAGAGACATTTCTTCGTAGGTGCTGAGCATCTCTGATGTCACCTGGTATAAAGTTTGCAACCTCCGCTGCTTCATTACTCTAAAATAGAATGCTGAAGGAGCAGAGTGGGGAAATCTTGAAAAAGAGCTCTGGAGAAGTTTAAGAGGCTTTCCCTACCGGTCGCATTCATTCTGCGCTCAGGATTCCTCATGCGTGCAGGCACATTACATGAAACTGTGATCCAGCAGGGTCTCTCTTGTGCTTTGCAGCTATTTCCATGGCTTCTTTTAGGGGGAGGAAAGTATAATATTGTTGGAGAATTGTGTTAGAAATGCTTGTGTGTCTTAGAAATGCCAGTATACTGCAGTGTCACCTTGTGACTGTGTACCAGAACATAAAGGCAAAGAAAGAAAAGTCCTGGGGTGGGGTGGGGGGGGGGGGGGGGGGACATGTATAAAGGAGCTGAAGTTAATCTTGCAAAGAATTCAGAAGCGGATATTTTGGGAAAGCAGGAGGTTAAATGTCTCATGGAGACAGGCCCAGAGAGGCCTTTCCCCCAAACTTCCCAAACTATTGGGAACAATACTCACAACTTCCCAGTTTCTATAAATTATTATAGAAAATTTTAGCCCCTGAGATCCTTTCCCTCCAATTTCTCAGGAAAGCTATAAGAGTTTTAAAAATTGATTTCAAATTCAGCTGCAGCCACATTTTTTTTTTTAAAGAGACTGTTTTCTGGGTGTGTCTGAGAACATCCTGCTAGTGATTCCCCAAAATTTGTTTGGGAATGCTCAGGTTTTTCTTCCCGAATCCCGCAGGAGTCACGGGGATGCTGAAGATTGACCACAATGGAGACCGGGAAACCGACTACTCGCTGTGGGACATGGACCCTGCATCCGGGGAGTTTCAGGTTAGTGGCAGGGCTGCCCGTCACACTGTGGAGGTTTCCCTTTTCCAAAGCATCTGGAGTGAGGCAGCTTGTCCAGGCCCGGTCCAGTCTGTCATACTTTTTCCTGTAGTGACTCCCACTGGTTCCCTCTGCGAAGGCCAAAACAGGGCATGAAGGCAACAGCCTGTTGGTAGTCACAGCTAGACTACCGCTGCACATGGAGGTTTCACCCGCTCACCTGCAAGTGGATGTAGCCCTTTTCAAGGCATCCAAAGCAGTGGCTCTCATGCCGTCCACGCACAATACTATCCTTCCTCTCTCTTCCTCCTTCCATGCACACTGTTTCCCTCTCCTTCGCCCCACCCTGATGTCTTTCCCTAGATTGTCGCCAATTACAACGGGACCACCAAGAAGATCAAAATCGTCCCTGGAAAGGACATTGACTGGCCAGGGAATACCATCCCAAGAGACGTGCCATTCTGCGGCTTTGAGAACAGCAACCCGATCTGCCATAAAGGTATCCGCCAGCGGGGTATGGCTGTAGGGCTGCCCCTCTGCAGGCCACCCATCCACCTCTATTATTTATTTATTTATTTATTTATTTATTTATTATTATTATTATTATTATTATTATTATTATTATTATTATTATTATTATGACTTCTATGCTGCCCCATTCGCTGAAGCCTAGGGGCGGCTCACATCAATAAATAAACTTACATAAAATAGTATAAATTAACAGTATAAATTAAGTCGCCCTGGCCAAAGAATAAAATGAATAAATACTATTAACAATTACAGTGACATTTGAATAAAAAGGTCTTCGCCTGGCGCCAAAGAACAAATAACGACGGCGCCAGGCGGACCTCTCTGGGGAGCGCATTCCACAGGTGGGGCACCACCGCAGAGAAAGCCCTCCTCCGAGTACTCACCCTCCTAATATCCTTCACGGAGGGCTCCCGGAGAAGGGCCTCTGCCGCCGATCTCAAGGGGCGGGAGGGCAAATATGGACGCAAGCGCTCCTTCAGGTAACCAGGACCCAAGCCATTTAGGGCTTTATAGGTC